GTTTCATTAGTGTGTGTTGAGTCAGTTTGCAGGAATTGGTTTCTGTGTGTTTAGCGAAGGTTTGGGGGGGATTATCGGAGCAGGTTTAGTGAGGTTGAGTGGTCCTCTTATTTCTACCATGTGATGGTAAGGGTTCTTACATGTAATTTTAAATTTGTGGATTTTATTTTTTTCTTTACATTGATCAAGTCAGGGCCTAAAAAAAAAAAAGAAATACACAGGATCTTCATGAGCTTACAAGCGTTTGTCTACTTAAGTCTTAAGTCTCCTTAAGTCCAGGATTTTGTCACCTACAGAAGAAGATCTGAATCAGATGTACAGGCATAGGGAAGTGCTGGGGAATTAGAAAGGGATGTACAATTCTATTTAAAGTTTCTAATTACAGCATTTCACAGACGGCCATGAGCTGCTGAGTGTACATATGACACAGTTTGGGTTTCTTGGTTCCTGCTTGACACGCTGGATGACATCTATGCAAAGAGGAAACATCAGCGAACACGTAAAATAAGATAAAAACATGGTGGTGTTATTGGGAGTGTTGCATTATCCATCTGAATTAAAGGTTTAAGGTTATTTCTACCATTGTAAAGTTTCAGGGCCGTTAACTCTGGTGCGGCTGTTGTTCCACGACGTCCAGCTGTTGGTTTCCATGAAAGGCCACGGCAGGTAAAAAGGATAAAAGGGCACCTTCAGTCCGAGATTATCTTAATTGCTTCATTCCTTATTGATGAGAATTGCTCAGACACTCTCTCTCTCTCTCCCTCTCTCCGGCTCCCTCACTCTCTCATTCATCTGTGTCCGTGCTTCACTATTGGAAATGCCTGTATTATACGTACAACACAGGGGCTGGCAGAAGGAGGATTTGGCGGGATTATTCTGTAATATAAGGATAATATATGGCCGTGTAAAGGCTTCAGTGTATTAGTGCAGAGGCATTTCAGAGCATTTGTATGAAAATGCCGTGTTGCTTGTGTTGACATAAACAGCTGCAGGAATTAGGAAGTGTTTTCTTTAGATCCCCTTCACTTGCAAACATCTGCTGCGTTCACTGGATGTCATCTAAGCGCTAACCTTCCTTTACCTCTCTCTCTGTCGCTCTCTCTCTCTTTCTCTTGCTAATGCTTGATCTCACCCCATCTTAAGCTCACCTTGTGTGCTGACACAAATATTTGATATCGTACATGTGCATCAGGAAAAAAAAGAAATCACCCCAGTGATCTCATCATGTGCGTACATTTTCCTGTATCATACCACATTAGAGGTGACAACTTTGCGAAGGGTTTTAAATAGTCTCCACTTCTCTTGCCTGCTTATGTCTTAAACCTTCAAATAATTACCTGAAATTATTTTTAGTTCGGTCCCCACCCCCGCTGCTTCTCTCAGACCTGGATTAAAAAGCCTCTGCAAATCAAAGATTTAGCGTTTTGAAATAAAGCAGTTTGTTTTAGATGCATCGTGTCAGAATCTATGTAATGCTAAAATGGCTAATCATTTAGTCAAGTCTTTCTGTGACTTCTAACTTTTTAAAGATCAGCCTTTTTTCTGTTTTGTTGGAATTTACTGTTGAAATATTTCTGGCAGCTTTTGATCATACAAAACTAGTTTGATAAAACTTCAGATGAGCATGTATTCTCATAATTTGATATATATAAAGTAATG